AGGCTAAATTGTGTTTTAGGACTTAATTTAGCAGCTACAAAATTAATATACCTCACTGTATGTCAAATAACAGTGAAGATATAATAGATATCAATAATAATAGTAAGTTTAAAAATACAGCAATATTTGGAGATTAAACTACTCACATTTGAATGAGCAGGTGTCTTTGAAAATATCAAAGGGAAGGCTTAAAAAATTCATACAGTAACCAAAATTGAAAATAAAATCCCTAGAAACTATGAAAAACTTTGAAAATATTCTGAAGATATTTATTGGTACTAGTATCTGTGTTAGAAAATCAGAGCAATATCAGAGAGGAAACATAATGACACATTTCAAAGTAATAAGATAATGAGAAATCAAACTCCAAACCAGTTGAACTGTATAATTAATAAATATCAGAGCTGAAATTATTGAAATAAAAGCTGAAAAACTATACAAATGATCAGTGAAACAAAGAATCAGAATTGGTTCTTTGAAAAGATAAAGCAGATTATTCAATCATTAGTCAAACACTTTCTTATCCATTTTAACACTTAAAGTACTTTCTTGTGATTTAATAATTACTGTGAATATGAGAACAACTTGATAATAAAGAGTACCTGTGGTAAATTAAATATCAATCTTCAAATGCCAAATATTTCAAGAATTTCTTCTAGTGTGCTAATGTTAAATTTATCATATTAAATTATAATGTGGTACATTTGTTGCCCAGTGAAATCCAAACTGGCAAACCCATGGAGACATATTTTAGCGATTCATGGAATGGATGAGGAATATTTAATCACAGGTCCCATGGGACTGAGACTCAGTGACCCTGGGAGAGTCTGAGTAGAATACCCGGATCTCCCCAGGCACTGGCCCTCAGCACCCCAGAAACCACTGAGGACCTACAGTCTCCTTCCTGAGCTTGGCCCAGGCCCACTGTGGGAGCAGGACTCAGCCTCAAAGGTCCCAGTGCCAAAGGAGCACTGGGGCCTCAAAGCACCTGTGTCAGGACAGATGGATCCGAGGATAGGGGCTCACTGCTGAGGAGCCTGTCAGAGGTGCGTATGGGGTGCGGGCACTCAGGAGGACCGGGGAGAATCTGCTCACACTGGGTCAGGGCTTGGCACCCTATGTCTAGGGGAGGACATGGCTGGGCTCTGGGTGTGCATTTGGGGCAGTTGTCAGGGGAGTCCAGACTCTTGAAGAAGCACTTCAAATAACAAAATATGAGGATAGGCCATCTTTAAAACTAGACTTTTTTTTAACAAAATAACTTTAAAAGAAATTTTATTTGGCTAACATGTCTTTAAAAGATAGATACATAAATAAGACAGATGCTAGGTGACTGCTGGATTTTTCCTTAAAATAGATAAACTATACATGCTCATTAAATATATCTAAAACATAAATTATCATAAAATGTAGAAAAAGATGAGAGTGATTCAGAATATGTAATGTGAATTGATAGTGAAACTGATTGCTAAATCCAGAGAATGGCTGATATTGACTATAAATTACCTTTCCTGTAATATAAATATAGTAAGACTGTGATATACATCAAATTATCCTTTCTCCTTGAAACTATGGCTGCTTTAAATAATAATAACACTATAGATATAATATATATTGTAATTTTTATTGACAAATGATACTTTAAAATGTGAGATATAATTTTTATTAAATGAACTAAAATATTTATAGGAGAAACCATGCTTCAGAATAAATGCTGTTCATGCAGGAAGAGCAGGTGATCAAGTCTATACCTGTGCTGCACCTTCTGGGCATGGAAAGCATTGGGGGCAATTTGAAAATTCTTGAATTTGGACTGGGTAAGGTGAATTATTTTCTGTGGAAATAGGAGTATTTTCATGCAGGTGCATGAGGCATGGAAAGAGATGTACATAGCTTGGCATGAATCCCATTGGTCCTGTGGATTACTGTCTACATTGGAAACATTCCATATTTAATCTACCATTTCATATTTAATTTCATATGTAATGTAATTTAGAAAATGAGTGTAGTAATCCCTGCAAGAATGGTGAAGTTGAAAAATGGAATGGATGTAGAGTTTCAAGTACTGTTGCAGCAAATTTACAGTCTGAAGTACTTTTTATACTAACTTATGAACATGGCCCTGGTTTGAAGGCAGCACAGAATGTTTGTGCCAATGACACAGGGACAGTGCAGGATGTTTGTGCCAATGACACAGGGACACATGTGGCCTGGCTCAGGCTGTTCCTGTGAAATCTGAAGGAAAAAGCAGCATCTGAGAGTCCTACTTCTCCTTAAGTGTTACGGAACATAGATTTCTTTAGTTTCTCCAGCTCCCTGTGGGTTTTTTTCCTATGAGAACAACAAGATCTCAAGGGAAATGCATTTTATCTCCACAGTATTTTAACTGATATGAAACTATTGATTATGAAAGCTTTTTCATCTATGTTTTATACAACACTATATGATGAAACTTTCCACTAATGCTTCTTTTATGAGTTATTAATTTCTTTTTGGGTTTTTTTTGGTACCAGGGATCGAACTCAGGTCCTTGTGCTTGCACAGCAGGCAATGAGTTATTAATTTCTAAATATCACATTTAGATGAAATAGTAATGAAATGAGAGTGTCTTTTTAAATTTAAAAATACCTATTGAAAATAATGATGATTTTCCTAAGAATTGTGGATGCATCCCAGTCATTGGTCTTTCTCCACCCACCGCTGCCTAATTGGGCTGCTTCACAGGTCACATTAGCAGTTTGTGGCCCTCACTGCTGGACAATAATCTCAGTTTTCAGGGAAACCATAGCAGCACCTGCACAGACACCTGTATGCATGGGAGGCAATGGGGCTGCTATGAGCCCAAGGATGGCACATGGACTCTCCCCGCATGGAATGGTCAAGCACAGGCTCATCTTCATGGCAGGCTGTTGAGGAACCTGCAGGTCCTGTCCACCAGGGCAGTGGACTTACCTGCTGAGTGGCAGAAGGAGAAGTGTGTCAGATGTTGTGCCGGATTGTGAAGAGGGGCAGCATGAATCCACCCCAGTCTGGCCTCCATTCACAGGAGGAAACCCTGTGATTCACTAACTCCTCTCTCAGAACAACTGGCTGCCTGCTTAGGTTCCACCTCTGGCTGATGTTGATCCAACCTCCTGGGATTTCCTGGATGTTTAAAACATAGAAGGACACAGTAACATGTGTCCTCACTGTGCACTTCAAATCCCTTCAAACCATAACAATGTTCTCTGTCTTGTTTCTGTATGTTTCTACATGGCTGAAAACAAAAACTGCTTGGATCCATCTGAAGAGACTATCATGATATATAATAAAAGCACACAGGAAATTATATTCTTTTCTCTTTTTTAAAAGAATCTGGTATAAAAGCCCTTAAATGAAGGAGGCATCTCATGAAGGACTCAGTTTTAGGACACTGGAGAACAATGCCTGATTATCCTGCAGAGGACATTTTTCAGGGTCACTTGGCTTCAATTTTATAAGACTGAAAGCTCACAAAGCTAATGCCAATTTGACTTCATGCTCATAAGTGGGCATGCAGACACAGGCATGGTCAGATTTTCAGAGCCGAGACATATGTGCTGGGAACTAGTGGGTTCCATGTCCTGGGAAGGCTGATCTGGTCCCAGGGTTATAAGGTTTCTGCCTGCAGGTGATTGGGAATGGTCCCCCTGCAAATTCCAGGTCATTAGGATAATCTGCCAGGGATAAAAACAGAGGAAGTGAGCTGTTGGCAAACATGGTGGAGAAATTCATTGGTTTTTTTATTGTTTGCTTTTCTCACATTTCTATTCTTTTAAAAATCTATTTTTCAGCTACTTGTAAAATTTGCAGTGAACAAAATTTACAAGTTACTTTGTAAATGCTAAAAATTAATAAAAATCTGTTCTCTATCAGGTAGTAAAGGCATCACTAAGGGTCATAAAGAAGTATCAAAATATGGCTCTATAATTTAGATATTTTCATTCATTTACATGTGTGCACATTCAATGTATGTTTTCTTCTTCTTTTTTCCTTTTTTTAATTCCCCAGGTCTGCTCTCACCTCGCCCCATGGTATCAGATAAGAGAGGCATAGGAAGCAAGGACATGAGAGGGCAGGAGGGGGAGATCCGGGGAGGGAGAACTGTCCTAGGTGGAAGTCCCCACAGTGCCACTGAGACTGCCCCGACCTCCTCCCGGTCAGACCACCGTATGTTTTCTTCTTGATGACAACTGATTTTGGAAATGAACAAACTATCTAAGTTTGAATAAAGGCATTAGAGAAATATGCTATTTTTTTAATTTATA